TCTTGCACCAATCACTCTCTCTCTCAGCCCAACCCACCTCAAAGCATTGTTGTTGAGGAAAAAAGAGGAGCAAGAAGGAATATTAGATATGCTATTTACAAAAATAATAAACTAAACCCCGATTTATGATCGCATTCTATCTGCAATTTGTGAGAGGTTAGAATAGGTGTCTAGGGATTATTTTATTTGGTGCTCCAGCAGGTCTGGGTTATTTTTGTAGTGATCTACCCATTGTCACCTAGTGTTCTTATTCAGCTGTCCAAAATCCACTCATTCTGTCTTTCACTTTGTTTTTGACAATAAATGGCATAGTAGCATGTTAATCTTGAACTTTCAAATGATCAGACAGTGTCTGACTGTACTGATCTTCTCAAGTGGTGAAGGCAAAGTGGGTTCTAAGATTTAGCATCAGGTATTCATGATACACATATCCACTTGATATGAAAAGATCAATGGCCCTAAAAGCCCATTTGCCAGGACATCATGACTTTGCCAAGTTAGGACATGTTGTTAATATAGTACAATGCATTTCTTCTCCATTTCCATAATCATTTTAAAGAAGTGATTGATTTCATAAAATCATCACTATAAATATACCTCTGATTCCTGATCTTAAAAAGTTTTACAGAGAAATAATTCATTTGTCTATGTGATTATCACTCTTATTGTCCTTTTTTTTTTCTTTTTAGGCTTAATTGCCTATTTTTTTCTCTTTTCCTTTTCTTCAAAGAAGAGGTAAGAGGCGTTACCACTGATTTAAAAGGCATTCTTTCCCTTAAGAAACTCAGAGGTTTTAGGTGGTATAAAACAATGGTCATTTAAGAATCCTTTCCCTCCCACTGCCCAAAATCTAAAATATTCACAAAATGTACACATGCAAAGTTACAAGCACAGATGGAAGTTTAGGAGTATTTACTATACTTTAACCAGAACTATAATGTGCACTGCTCGTTGTATTTGCTTCAGTTGCCCCCATTACATTCATTTCCTATTTATCAGCTTGGGAGATTTAATTCTAGGTGATTTCATTTTTTCTAATTGTATTCTCCTAATCTCTAATGCAGAACTAGTTTCCCAGCAATATTTGTAGTGAGCTAGTGCCATAAAACAGTTTATAATGAAAAGTAAATAAAAAGTAAAAAAGCAGAGGAAGAAAAGTAATATGACTAACTACTAGGATGAGGCTGGGACAGTCCATACTTTTTTTAAAGACATAATTTGCAGAAAGCATTTAGTACCCTAACTTCAATAACTCCTACAGTGCTATGGACATGTATCTTAATTCATTGTTTGGCTCCATTTTTTTTGTTCCTGTTCCACTGAAGTCAGTAGTCCAGCCATGTGTCTTCTGTAGATATGTGCTAATAGGTATCACTATGATCATTCCTGGCTTTTACCAATTTTTATAGGTGATATATGAATGTTACCAAGCATATTTTGCAATCACAAATAGAAATCTTCCTCTGTAATGTTTGTGTATTTTTTTTAAATGTGCATAAAATGGATTGTGAATCAGTCCAGTTTAGTAATGCTTGGGCCATAGAAAGCATAGACCTTTCAAGTACGTGAAGCAGGCACATACATGTCTAATTTAGCTATACAATTATAACTATACTTTTTGATATTCAGAATTAAAATGAGGGATAGAAAAGCCATCAGAGTTGGGTCAGTTCCTATTCACAGCTTTATAGAAATGGAACAGTTTGTTTCAATCTGCTATTCTCTGTCCCTACTTGAACAGAACAAAGCAAAATTAGTCACCTAAATGTGTTATAACTATGCCAGAAGCAGTTAGAATTTCTAGAGACAAGTAAACAAGTATGTGCAGAAGACACATGTATGTCTTAACTGATCACATAAGTGAGTTATACCACATCATATTGTAAAAGGAGATAATGTGTCAGTGAGTAAGCAAGAATATCAGTGGATGATAATTCTCTGTAATTACCAGCATCAGCCATATGCAATGGCAAAACATAGCAGCTCAAATGTATCAGAAACAATGCCATCCTTCAGAGTCATCATTAGAACCTCTTGATCCAGTGTTACATTGAAATATGGCACCAGCAGTTACAGTTGTTTTTTGTCCTAAATCCAAAGTTACTCAGTGAACTTCAAGATAGTACATTTTAGATTTTTCAATGCCATGCGTAACTTTCTATTAGATCTTGATGCTCATCAAAATGCTTTTTAATAACTTAGTAATGCAACAGTCAATTTCTAATAGTATTTTGGGGTCAACTTTTCCCTCAAAGCTAGAAGCCCTATGGAAATATCATGTATGGTGAATAGTGGAAAAACTGATCATGCTAATACTATCTGTAAATTTTGGTGTTGGATCTAACTACATAACTTGGACACTGGCTTGTCCCGAAACTAAACATGAACAGGTAGTCCTCAACTTACAACAGTTCATTTAGTGACTGTTCAAAGTTATAATGGCTGTGAAAAAGGTGACTTATGGCCAATTTTCAGAGTTACAACCTTTGCAGCTTCCCTACGGTCATGTAAAAATTCAGGTATTTGGCAACTGGTTCATATTTATGAACTTTGCTGTGTCCCAGGATCATGTGATCACCTTTTGCAATTCTCTGGTAAAAGCAAAGTCAATGGAGAAGCCAGTTTCACTTAACAACCAGGACATCAGTGATTCACTTAACAACTGTGGCTTAAAAGGTCATAAAATGGGACAACATTCACTTAACAAATGTTTCACTTAGAAACAGAAATTTTGGGCCCAATTGGGGTCATAAGTCAAGGACTACTTAATAGACTAAACCACAGAAAGAAAAAGTTGGCCCCATCCCCAAAACAATAATTCTCCTTTTACTACATTATTACATACTAAAATTGACTAAGTAAGAATTTAGAAATAACATCAATGTGGAATGTAGCATGTTTACATGCTCAGGCATGCGAATGCTTGCTGTTGAACACCAATCACCCTAAGCTGATTTTTGGTAATTGTGTACAGCTGCTGAAAATTGCCTTCAAGATGCTGCTATTCCCCCATAAAGGGTTCTAGGCAATACACCCATCAGGTGTATTCACTATGCAATTATGACTGTATAATTATGAGCCAGCTTGGTTTAGTGGTTAAGGCACCAGGCTAGAAAGCAAGAGACTGTGAGTTCAAGTCCTGTCCTAACTATGAAACATGGTTACAGTTACTCTCTTTCAACCCAAGTTATCTCATGGGGTTATTGTTGTGGTTGGCAAAATGGAAGGAGGAAGATGTGTTGGATATGTTTGTTGCCTTGAGTTATTTGTAAAAATAATAAAAGGAAGGATATAAAATAAAAAAATAAAAAATATCACCATTGCTATTATCATCATCACCATTAGCCCAAAACTCTTCTTTTTTTGCTGCATGTTTCATATAAAGTTTTATTACTGTGGCTCTATATGTGACGGTGTTTTGTATTGATGGGGTCACATTATGGTTTGATGGTTATTATAACTCATTGCAATTACTTAATTAGCCTTCTTTTGTTGAAGAGGAATACTTGATAAAGAGTTAATGTAACAAAACAATAAACTTTCACATATGATAATGACTTCAAAAAGTCTCAGTGAAGAACCTTCTTGATAACAATGGCAATAAAAAAATGAATCAGATTACATACCCGTTTAACCGCTATGAAACTCCTCCAAGAAACCTAGAAAATTGTAGTTCAGTGGACTTGCTTTTGCAAAATTACAATTGTGTATCAGCAATTATGTTTTGCTGATTAAACCAGTTAGAAATGGATTAACATTTGCTATATAGAAATAATCTCCCTTGTCATAGTTTGATAAACCAAATGGTCCAGCGCATGCTCAGTTCACAAGAAAGCTCATGCCACAATATTAGATCTGGGTAAATTCTTTCACATAACTGTATCTGCTAAAACATAGATGTATGTGACTTGTGAGAATTGATTCCACAATTGATTTGCCTTCTCTTTCAGGGATATGTACATTTCAATTTAGCAATGCAACTTTTATCCCTGAATAACTAGATTCAGCAAACCTGCCTATAAGAAAAAGTAATGCTTTGGAATGTGTAACTCTGAGCTCTCTGGATGATAGGATTATTCAGTTTTCTCATTTTTGCTTTTCCACTAAAGGGAAAACAGTTTCCAAAATCTATTTCAAACCAGGATTTATGAAGACTTAAAGAAGAAAAAAGCATGTTTTGTGTATTAAATTTGTTTGCTAAATAGCAATATGCCTATAATGTTGTGAATTTATGAGAATCCATTTTCAATGAACATATAAATGTGATTCTAATTCCATAGTATGTATTTATGTATCTATATAAATCAGTTATGTCACAAGTGAAAGACATATCACATGGTGATGTCAGGTCAGAAGAGTTGTGACCATGTTTCAGCAAGAAAATTAATAAGGCTTTTTGTGGATTAAAGTATGCCTTTTTGACAACAAGAATGAAAATAACAGCATGTCTGTATAATTGATAAAAACTTCACAATATTATCATATACCCAAATCAAATGGAGATTTCAAAGTGCTAACAGATTGATGGCCTATCAAAAACATAGAAATCTGGTTTTATCCAGGCATGTCTTAAAGCCCAAGTTCTTGCTTTCTAAGGGGCCATTTATTATAAGTAGGTTTTAAATATAATTTCATAGTTATGGCTTCTCCCAAAGAGAATAATTCTATGAGCACTCCCCACAGATTGACTGCCACTGACTGCTGCTATTTCCTGTGAAATTTGTAATTCAGCAATGTTGAATATACTGTGGGACAAAAGCTTTCTGTGAAACCCCAATATTCTCATTATCAGAAATTGGAGCAATGCTGATTATGGACACTTTGTATGTGATTTCTGACAAGAAAAATGACTAACATGTTGACACCAATAAAAGAAGATACACTTGGGATTCCTGGCTTTTGCAAACTATTACAGAGAATTCTGAGAATTTCCAGAGAGGGGAAATTACTATAAAGCCATCTGAAAGTACCCTGCAGTCTGATACCTTTAATGTTCAAATCAAATTAAATCAAATGACAATGTATGTTTCAAATATTATCACATGATGCTGCTTTTTAGAACATGTTGCTAAAAGGCTAGACAAGAATACTCCTAGGCTTCAGAAACAGATATCTTATTGTCTGGAGAGAAATATTTATATTCTAAAGGAATTTAAAAAATGAAAAATGATCCCTGTAGTGATAGGTATTTTTAAACACCTCTAAGCACAGATAGACAACAATATTTACTGGAAATGATGAACTGCTCAAGTTATTGAACTTGGATTATTTTCTTGGTTAGATGTGTATAAAAAGGGCAATTCATGATAAGTCAATATTCTTTTCTGTTTGTTTGGGCTTGCAGTCTCAATGTTTTTCTGTCACTTGCACTTTGAGTTGTGCTGATCTTCTCTTTTTCAAAATTAGATGTGCTCAAGAATCCATTAGAGAGCTTGTTGAAATAAATATTCCGCAACCCCACCCCAACCCTTGCTGTTTCCTCCTCCCATTTCATTTTAGATAAGCCACTCTTTTTTGCTTTCATCAATGGTTTCTGTAAAATTGGGATCATTGTTCATAATAGCGGCATCTGCACTCTCAGCAGATTCTGCCCCCTTGGCTTCATTGGTATGGTAGGTTCCCTTGTGGCGGAACATGTATCGAATGAGGAACACCAGGGTGCAGAGAATGGTGAAGATCACAACAGCAATAATACCTAAGAGAAATGTGAGAGTTTAACAAATTAAAAATAAGGGGGGAAGAAATATTCATTCAATAATATATTGTAATTAAACATATCTGCAGTTTTTCAATCATTTCTGCTAAATTTGATATTGCTAAAATATTTATTTTGTCACCTTATGAAATCATTCATTTAGTAAGAAAAATCTCACCAATGAGATTTAATTATTTTTTATTAATAAATTAATATATCTTGAGTGGCAACTAGACAAAATGTGTATGGATTTGTGATTTATATACTTTAATAATTTCTTTATTTCACACAGTTAGAATTATGTATATGAAGTGCAATATTAATATTTTGATATAACCAATCCAGTTGTTTACGTGTCAGCCATCTCCCTGTACTCTAGGAAAGATGATGGATTATTCTGAAAATAATTACTTTATCTGTCCAACCACCTCAGTCTGAAAATTATCATAGGGTCTAGTGAAGCACTAGAAAGTCCCACCAGCAGTTGCCACAACAGGAAACCAATAAACCCATATTTTCTGAATAGTTCTCATTCAAAATGAGGCATGGGAAAGATATGATGAAATTGCCTTTCATTATTGCAACCATTTTGATATCCTTCATACAAATCTCCACAGTCATCTTGCCTCATCTGAAAGGCCTCTTGATGGATTGTGATGATTAATGAACTAAACTATGTTCACAGAGAGTAGAAAGAAGAATCTCAGATGAGATAGGAACATTATGTGTATATATCTGCTATTCTACTTATTATTAAATTAATATTCTGCCCATCTCATCTAGAGGAAATCTATGCAGCTTACAATTATGAAAAATCAGAAGATAAAACATTAAAGCATTTCCAATATATATTAATACTAACACTGCATTAGAATTGACAAGATGGAAAGGAATGGAACAAAATGCATATGGGCAAGAGGTATTAAACATGTATTAGAATAACAGAATTGGAAGGAATCTTGGAGGTCTTCTAGTCCAACTCCCAGCTTAGACAGGAAGACTACACCACTTCAGACAAGTGGTTATCCAATGTCTTCTTAAAAACTTCCAGTGTTGGAGCATTCACAATCTCTGGAGGCAAGTTGTTTCACTGATTAATTGTTCTAACTGTCAGGAAATTTCTTCTATGGTGCGTCTCTCCTTGATCAGTTTCTACCCATTGCTTCTTGTCCTATCCTCAGGTGTTTTGGAGAATAGCTTGACTCCATCTTCTTTGTGGGAGCCCCAGAGATATTAGGTGAGGTGGACTCTTATCTTACTCCATTAACCACCTCCAGAACAAGAAGTCCTTATTAGGACCCTAGATCAAGGATTGCCAACCTTTTGGACCTCAGGAACACTGAACTCATAATTTTAAATGCCAGGGACCACTAACTGGTTCTGTGGGTGTGGCCTAATTTATGCATGTGGCTTGGTGGTCATGTGACTGGGTGGACATGGATTGTATGTAAATATTATAAATATTTATATAAATATTGATTTTTTTATAAAAAGCAACTTTTACCCAAAATCAGGCAAGCAGGCAGGCAGATTGAGTTGCTCACAGAATCACAGATTCATTCAGAGATCTATCTGCCATCGGCTAGCTCAGTCTGTTACATAAAATTTGCTTGCAAGCAAACTCATAATATTTGCTAGCAAGCTAACTCATAAAATTAATTCACAACATACCATGTATGTAAATATTGATTTTTTTATAAAAGAAGAGAGCAACTTTTACCCAAAAGCAGGCAAAGCAGGCAGGCAGATTGAGTTGCTCACAGAATCATTCAGTGATCTATCTATCTGCCATCGGCTAGCTCAGTCTGTCATATAAAATTTGCTTGCCGTGAATCTGCACTGAATAATAGAACCTTCAGTCCTAAGGGAGGTTTGGCTGTGCTTAAAAGCAGAGCCGAAGATCTAAAGACTAGCTAGAAAGCAAGAAATGCAATCATTTCCTGCTTTCTAGCTAATCTAAATCTTCTGGCACAGCAGAACAGCTGATGGTCAGAAAGAAAAAAAAGGAAAAATAGCAATTTAGCAGGCAAGTTTGCCAGGTAAGGAGTGAGTGAACGGGGAGGGTTCTCGTGGGCCATGTGGGTGGCGCAGCCTTGTGTTCCTGCACTGCCTTGATTAATTGCTTTGAGGGTGCTCTGGGGGTTGCATTTCTCTGAGGCCCACCAAAATTTTCTTGTGGCCCACCAGTGGGCCGCAGCCCACCGGTTGGCAACCACTGCCCTAGACCAGTTGGCAGAGCCCTTCAAGCCCTTTCAGAAGACCAAAAATGTGGCTACAGATATAATCTCAGATGACACCTGTTTTCAGAGGATGGCAGACACAGCAAAAACATTCTTCTTCTGGACCCAACAGTCATAATTCCTTGACCAACTGGATCCCCAGCAGCATATTCTGCTGGTATGGGTAGCATGGGCCAATTCCATTGGGATGAGATAATTCTTCAGAAAGCCTGGACTCTTGCCATGAAGGGATTTAAAAGTAAGAACCAACCCATTGATTTGGACCCAGAAGTAAACCCACAACCAATACAGCTTGCGGAACCAAAGAGTAACATTAACTATCCCAGTGTCTACATATATTGACTGTGTGGCTGTATTTTGCACCAGCTGTAGCTTCTGAATACTTTTGTATTCAAGAGTATGTGCTTGAGTGACTGACTCCTTACTCAGGAAAGGGTGTAACTGGTACGCAACAAAATCTTGGGCAAAGGCTCTCCTAGGCATGACTGCTATTAGGAATACAAGTTCAGGAGAACCCTCAAATTGTGCCACAGTTCTGTCTGGAGATATTAGAGATATTAAATCCCAGATCTGAAGCTTCATGGTCCCAAAGCCACTCAGTCTTACCATGGTTCAGCCAAATCCTTTGTCACCCATCCAAACCTCCACAGCCTTTAGGTGCTGTGACTAGGCAGTGACAGTATCTCTTGGGTCACCAGGAATGGAGATATAAATGATACTGAGTATCACCAGTGAACTAATGGTATCTCATCCCATCATGGCAGGTGATTATATGAAGCTTAATCTACTCTACTGGAGGTTTCTGTATGGGGAAATGGATAGTATCAAGAAATGGGACTTAATGGAAGAAAATTAAATAACCACCATACAGATGGAAGAATAGGATAGAATCTCCATTTAAATTGAATTATATTAATCTAAAATTAAAAATTGTAGAAGGAAGGCAATATTTGTTATCAATATTCCTTCTTTTTGATTTAAATACTTCATTTTTTTTCTTTAATTGATTTTTGTCGCTGATAGTTCCTTTGTTTGGAAAGACTGTTTTGGTCCCTAATTAGTTTTATATATGCCTAATGAAAACAATCTCTGGCTCTTGACCTGTTTTTTTGCTCTCATTCTTTGTTTAGCTTCTTTTTAAGTATGAAGATAAATTTGCTCAATGCAATGTATGAAAAGGTAAGGATCTGAATCTGAATCTGAGACTTTATTATTGGTTGAAATTGGCTTTTTGCTAAATATACTTTGCAGAAACATCCCAACTTGAGACAAGCTATCAAAAACCAACTATGAAGTTAATCCATTTGGACACTACATTCTTTTGGTGAATGAGGTTAAACATTCTGTTATATCTTTACTTAGTAATCAAAATGAGTTCATTAAAATATTAATTAATTTTTACCTCTCAGTTTAAGCACAAGGAATTGTTCATCAATACCTTATATGAAGAAAGTCTCCTAACATCATGGTGACTGATAGTGACTTAGTACATTTGCTAAGTGAATTTACATAATTGATACTGGATTTAAATCTAGAGCTTCCTAATTCTAGCTCAACATCTTAATTATTAGATTATACTTTAATATTATGAAAAGAATGTTCACATATTATGATAACTCAAAGAGGTTGTAAAATTTTCCAAAATAATTTGATCAATAATTTGATCAATCTTAGATAATTATATATTCATATTGAAACTTATATTAAACAACTGAATGTACTTATTTGTCAATTCAAATAGATGTATACTGCTTCCTTACCTCCAATAATTGCTGAATTTCTGTTAACACCACTTCCTATTACTTGACCATTGTAAGGAAGATCAGCACCTGATATAAAGTGAAGCATAACATTTAAGTTGTATTTTCTCCCCAAAATTTGTATCAATCTAGGCCAGAACTAAAATTAAGATATCCTTGAATATTAATAATAGAAGCATAAATGAAAGAGAAATAAAAAATAACAAAGTTTCCAGTATGGCATTAGGTGCCAGAAGGCCAGAATAGACTCAATCAATCCACAGGAAATTCCCAAAGGAAGAGTTTCAATTTTGCCATAAACTTACTGGGCAGTAGAATGTCCTTACTTCCATGTGGACTGTCAGTCATTCCAAGTCACTACAGGTTTTAAGGAAGACCATAGGTTAACAGTAAGCACATTAGTAACTAATGGTATATAGATAAGAGAATAATGAATTATAAATAATCTAAAGAATTATAGATTAAGCACATACTTCCCTTGCTTAATGCTAGAGTTACATTCCTTAAAAAGCTTACATAAAGCAAATTTGTATGAGGCACGTCCTTGAGTCAGTAGAAAAAAAACTGAGTTATGGAATTTGGTGTCAGTTTCTATAACTCAAATATACCAATATATAGTTAGACTTTTATTCTTAGGCCCTATATTACTTAAACATTTCCTTCCTTGTTTGGTGCTCTATGTACAGTACACTTTTCCCATCTTTTCTAGTTAGATTTCTAATATATACATTTATCATGTGAAACAAAAGAGGCAGAAGACCTCTTAAATTTTTACCAGAATTCTTTAGTAGAATACTATGAATTTTATTAGGGCTCTTCATTATATTGTACATAGTTCAAAACCTGGTTGTTGGGCTGAAGGCTCTGTATCAGTTTAGGTGAAATATGATTATGTCCAAATTAGTTTCTAGTGTTTGAGATCCTTTTTCTTTTCATTTTGAGGAAGGGTACTGGATGTGACCAGGGTAAAATGACTGGAGGATAGTGCTATCTCTTCAAAGAAACGAGGCCTGGAGAAGTGGCTTCTGAGGGATTGGATATCTCCTGACTGATTGACTATTGTGGTCTACACTCTTCCATTCAGACATGTCCATTTCTTCTCTGGCTTCCAGAAAAAAATAGAATTTTATTAAGATATCTGTAGCTTTTCTATTTCTGCAGCTCAGTAACTTGAATATTTACCTAATGGAAATGGGTCAGCATTTTTATAAATACCCAAATTAGCTCCAGCAATGAATTGACTAGAAACATTATGATTTCTTAAGCAAAAGGAGATAACCAGTAAATGTCTGAAGTAAATAGAAGACAAGGAAAATGCAATGAAAGGTTGCCAAAGATATAAAGTTTCTGGGATTGGAAAGATAAAGAATTAAAGTGCTACAAGAAAGTATTCAGAATGGATGAATGGTTCCTTTTGTGTCAAGATTGTCCTTGGCAAGACATGAAGACCATAACAGAGAGAAGGCCTGGGATAACAGATTTTCTGTTTTATCGCTTGATTTTATATATTTTAGATATTATATATATATAATCTGCTTTCAGATTCTGGATTCCAACTTCATTTGACGTTGTGGTGAGAATGGCTGGAAAATAGTGGAGCTCCACCAGGCTCCATGAAATGCAGCTGGCAAGTGCTTCCTGGGAGACCCTACAGGGTTAAGCTGCCCTGGAGGGGTGGTGAAGAAAGGAGGGGCACTTCGTTGATCAGGAGGAAACCACAATTTCCTCATTGATCCAAAGAAAGCTCTGCTGAACAGCAGCAGGGATGGCAGCCATTTTGGTCAGTCACAAGCTGGGACAACCAGGACACTAAGATCTTGTGCTGGAGCGGTGTGTGAGCAATGAAACTTCCACTGTTTCCTTAGAGATTTAACCCAAGTAAAAAGTTCCAAAAAGGACCTCCAAACATCAAGAAAGCAGCAATTGGATTTATGGAGAAAGATCAAAGACTAAAAACTAAAGAGGAAGATTAAAGGTTAAAGACTTAGAAGTAAAAGAAATAGCTAAAGGATGATCTGAAATATAGAAAGTCTGGAAAATCTGAATAACTTTGTGAAAAGTGATTATTGGGAGAAATTGCTTTTCTAAATTCTATTTCTAATGCTGGAATTGGGAGCAGGGGAAACATCTACTAGACTAGAGGAAGAAAATTACTGCAATGGGTGAAAGGAAAGGGATGAAAGGAGAGAAAGTAAACAACACCTGGAGAGCTACTTGACCCTCACTTTATCTTACTGGTGGTTTGGAAGCTGAGAAATATTTACTGAGCTTTTTGAAGATCCATAAGTCAAACTAAACTAAACACTAAAACTTTATGGGAACTGTGCATTGAAAAGTGGATTTGAAAGATCTGAAGAAACCTGGTGGGCTAAATTGGATTTGGGTTATTAATATCATATGACAGATTATCCTACGAAGCAAAAGAAGAAAAGCAATAGAAAGAAAAGATAAATAAGACTTTAAAATCTGGACAATTGGGAAGTTAACTGGAAATTATAGACTGAAAAGCACAAACTGATAGCATTTAAGGACTAGAAATTTAGGGGACTTGGACAAATAGTTCTGGGATTGACTAAATTTTATTAATAATTGATTTTTTTTGGGGGGGGGGAAGTTTTTAGATATTAGAATATTGGAATATTAGAGGTGTACTAGCTTGGTACAAAATGGCCCAGCAAAAGGATAGTTTTATGAGGAAATATTAGAAATGGTGACAAAGAATTATAAGGAGTTGATGAGAATATTTAAAGATAAAGATGTGAATGCAGAAGGCCCTCAACAAATGGTAGGAAAAGATGAATATAATACATAGAAGATAAATGAAAAATTAGGAGTGGTGGAAGAGACAAGCAAAATAAATTACAAGAAGATAAATATAAGTTACAAGCAGATAAAAACACTGAAAAGATAGTACAATAAATACTAAAAATCAAATAGATAGTCTGTTAAGCACTTACAATAGAATATAGAGAGAAAAGGAAGACTTTCCAAAAATAATGAAAGGGTTATGGATGGATATTCAAAAGATGCAGCAGAAGGGGATAAAGGGTACGGCAGAAAGAACAATCTGTTTGTGAGAAATATAAAAGAATCACCCAAAAAAATCAATAAATGATGAAGTTCTAAAAAGGCTGAAAGATAATGGATAGAGACATAACATTTGCAATACAGTAATTATATTAAAAAAAAACAATAGAAATAAGTGGAAAGTTTAAATTGGGAAAATAGTAGCACATATATAGATATATACTTGAATTTATTATAACCATAAATATATTGAGATTAGGAAGTGGAAGACTAGAACTAGGTATTTTTAAATGTATTATTATAATTAATGGTGCAAAAAATATACTGGAATATTTAGTTTTCAAGGATTATAATTTCTGGGGCCTTAGACATTTAATTTCAGGACTGATTAAATCTTATTAAGAATTGGTTATATTGGTGTTTACAGAAAATTGAGATATTGAAAAGGTGGTAGAACACAGTGATATTTATAATATTAAGACATTAGTGACAATAGGGGTTATTAAGTATATTATATGAAGAAATGTTATTGATGTTTGCATATATTTTTGGAGAATCATAAAGAGAGCATAGTATTGTTTAAAGATAATGAGAATATAGAAAAAACCCAACAAATGGGAAAATAAAGAAATAAGTACAAATTGGGAAAATAATATAAATATATATTAATACATAAAAGAATATAATTATAATGAGCATATTAAGGTTAGAAGGTAGAAAATTAAAACTCTGTATATGTAACTGTATGTGAAAAATATACTAATCCAGTCATTACATTGTCCACAAAAAATGTTGTTAAAGGAAAACTACAAATAAAACATATACAATAAATAATAATAAAAAAAGAATCTGCCTCCCATACTATCATATTATGCTCTGGCTGCCAATTTCACTAACATTTCCCACTTGAAGTGGGCATTTCAAGTTGCTCATCAGGCTCACATATCATTCTGACAATTTACTGTTTTATTGAAAAACATTTCATGATTATGAAAGATTGCAATTCATCTGGGAACAATTACAATTAAGTTTAATAGGGACTATTTTAGAAGAGGTGTGCACTGCAACAACATCTACATTTCATTTATACATACAATTAGCATGTGCAAGTTTAATGTAAATATTTTTTGAGTCATCATGAAGGATTAAGCCAAGAAGGATTAATGAACAATGAAAAATGTGGTTCCATTAAATTATTTTAAAATATGTTTTGTTAACATGTTTTAAGCCTACAGTGAAATTAGAATCTCACACTAAAAAATTCATTTTTCAGATATTTGTAATATAATTCTGAAGTATAAATCCACATATGAATAAATAGGAACTGCTGTTGTCCTAAGTCCATTTTGTAGTCGCCTGATGTGCTGTCATGAAAGTTAATGTAATCACTATCTTTTTAGGTTTCTTATTATTTTATTTATATAATGCCAAAATAATTTCAAATTTCTATTGTTTAACTGAAATAAATTAATCAGTTTTATTTCAGTGAAACAATCTCAGCTAAAGAAGAAGTATCCAACAAACAAAACTGAAGTATTTTGGGGGGGTGGGAAATGAGTAATTAACCTATTCTGCAAGATAGGATATTTCTTTAGAAAAAATTAAGCGCTCTTCCATATGGCTATGCATTTCATTCCAAGCCATAGCAATAACTTCTGCATGGTTTCACAGTGACAAGCAATTATCTCCACTTTTCCCTTTTTGTGCTCAAGTGTGCTCCTGCTCTCCAGTTGACCATAAGGGTAGCAGCAAAGCCTCTCCTCCTTTTGGCTAGGAAGGCTTTAGGGAATAAGACATGGGCTCATGGAACTTTGGCTTCTGAAGGTGCAGCAATCTTCACAATAGGATGGAACAAGGAAGAACATTTTATGTTATTTGCCCCAGATCTAAAATGATCTAGGCTATGTGCAATTAAATAACTACCAATTAAAGAGAGTATTTGTAGCTCGGAAGTTGAAATGAAGGATCCTTCTTGCAGATGTTTCATCCAACTAAATAACAATTAGTTCTAGTCATGGTGTTGATGATATTACCTAGTTTGG